CTCTGGGGTGGTTCTGGAACTACCGGTACCTTGAACAAACTCTGGGGTGGTTCTGGAACTACTGGTACCTTGAACAAACACTAAGGTGGTTCTAGAACTACTGGTACCTTGAACAAACACTAGGGTGGTTCTAAAACTACCGGTACCTTGAACAAACTCTGGGATGGTTCTTGAACTACCGGTACCTTGAACATACTCTGGGGTGGTTCTTGAACTACCGGTACCTTGAACAAACACTAGGGTGGTTCTAAAAGTACCGGTACCTTGAACAAACTCTGGGGTGGTTCTAGAACTACTGGTACCTTGAACAAACTCTGGGATGGTTCTAGAACAACCGGTACCTTGAACAAACTCTGGGATGGTTCTAGAACAACCGGTACCTTTAACAAACTCTGGGATGGTTCTAGAACAACCGGTACCTTTAACAAACTCTGGGGTGGTTCTAGAACAACTTTAAACAGACTCTGGGGTGGTTCTAGAACTACTGGTACCTTGAACATACTCTGGGATGGTTCTGGAACTACTGGTACCTTTAACAAACTCTGGGATGGTTCTAGAACAACCGGTACCTTTAACAAACTCTGGGGTGGTTCTGGAACTACCGGTACCTTGAACAGACTCTGGGGTGGTTCTGGAACTACTGGTACCTTGAACAAACTCTGGGATGGTTCTAGAACAACCGGTACCTTTAACAAACACTAGGGTGGTTCTGGAACTACCGGTTCCTTGAACAAACACTAGGGTGGTTCTAAAACTACTGGTACCTTGAACAAACACTAGGGTGGTTCTAAAACTACCGGTACCTTTAACAAACTCTGGGGTGGTTCTGGAACTACCGGTTCCTTGAACAAACACTAGGGTGGTTCTAAAACTACTGGTACCTTGAACAAACACTAGGGTGGTTCTAAAACTACTGGTACCTTGAACAAACTCTGGGTGGTTCTAGAACTACCGGTACCTTGAAAAAACTCTGAGAGATATACAGGGGGAGATATAATTCATATTGTGAGCAGAATTACTTAATACAAGGACATAAAATTAGCATATCTCAGTGTCAGGGGGTATAATTCAGGCACATATTGGAGGCATCGTATCTGCATACAAGAGGGTATAATTTATGGCTCATATTTAGAGCTAGGTGTTAATTCAGGGCACAAATCAAGAGAAGAATATATTTTTATGTTGCTCTCTACTAAATGCAATCAACCGGTCTGGACTAAAGTGTGAATAATATTTTGGTATACTTTTTGAAGAAAAAAATTAATTCAGGTGTAGCAAAAATATTTGCAGAGGATTATACATATGGTATGGTTTTCATGAATCATAAATGTATGTCAACCTGTACTCAACCGGGGTGCAACACATCAATAAAACATTACATGCTCAAAAATTCTGAGTATATGTATTATGTATTTTTTTTTATTTGTATGTTTGCAAATGTGTATTAGACTGCAACAATTCTCTCCTGAGTTGACATTGAAAACCAGTCTAGTATTCCCATGGGAGATACATTGCCAATGATATTGATTACAAGTTAAATGTTTCACTTCATAGAACACGTACATCAATGCATATTTCCAAATGGAATGTGTATCACCAGGAATCAGTCAAGTAGAAAAAGTCCAAATTTTGACTACTACTTTCTCAATTTCTGCATGATGTGTTCACACAGGACATCTGTCGTTTATACTAAGGGAAGATTCTATACTGTTGAATTAGGTGACCAAGTTTGATATACAATTATTAAAGTTACTGTATACACATTAACAATTATTAACAATGACAGACATTTTCCTTTTAATATACCTTTCATCTTTGATGATATGGACAAGGTCAAAATAACTCAGGTGAGTGTAGTCAGTGCATTTTATTTTACCTGCAGAGATAACTCAGGTGAGTGTAGTCAGTGCATTTTATTTTACCTGTAGAGATAACTCAGGTGAGTGTAGTCAGTGCATTTTATTTTACCTGCAGAGATAACTCAGGTGAGTGTAGTCAGTGCATTTTATTTTACCTGTAGAGATAACTCAGGTGAGTGTAGTCAGTGCATTTTATTTTACCTGCAGAGATAACTCAGGTGAGTGTAGTCAGTGCATTTTATTTTGCCTGCAGAGATAACTCAGGTGAGTGTACTCAGTGCATTTTATTTTACCTGCAGAGATAACTCAGGTGA